CTATACTTTACATTGCATGTTTTGTGTGTGATAAGGAATTAAAATATTTTAAAGCAAATTTATGTAACATGGTCTTCATATTTGTAACCAAATTAAAATAATGGGAACAAAAATTGATTTACATCTTGTTCTTTCCATTATTCTTTTATATCCCCATTTGTATTACAATTTACAGTCTGTTTTTGAAATATTTTTTTTTAAATCCCTGTTTTATGCAGACATGTATGGCAATATCAGGATAAAATAGTACATATATTTATGTCCAGAAATTTCATCCTTTTTTTTACCATCTAAGTTTTATTTGTGACATTTCAAATGCAATAGATCTGAATGAGCACTGTTTTGAGTAGGCCAAAACAGAAATCAATAGAACTTAACTGATGTGCATAAAGTTAGGCACATGCTTAAGTATCTTTCTAAATTAGGACTTTAGTGTTTGATGGTGCAAAGTGCGAAGCCTTCTGTCTCCAATTCAGCTGAGCACTTAGGTATATGTGTTTCACTTTAAACACGAGTAGTCCCATAATGGAAGTACTTGTGCTTAAAGGTAAGCATGTGCTTAAGTGCATTGGAGGCAGAGGGCTCAGCATCATGCAGAATCATGCCTGTAGCCTACAGATACTTAGGGTATGTTTAGACTACATGCCTCTGCCAACAGAGGCATGTAAATTAGACATACCAACAATGTCAATGAAGCGGGGATTTAAATATCCCCCACTTCATTAGAATAAAAATGGCCACCGGTTGTGCCGGCTCAGCTGTTTGGCGGCACAAAGCGGCAGTCAAGACAGGGATCAGTTGGCAAGGAAAGCCTTTGCCGACCGATCCCTTATGCCTCATGCATTTTTAAAAATCAAGCTGTCTGGGTATTTAGGAGTGCATCATTCAAAGCAATGGGAGTTTTTCCATTGAATTATATGGGGAAAGGATCAGAATTTACAGAATTTCATATACTGCCCTAAAGTCTATAGAGTACTAAAATAAACTATTATTGCCTAAGTCAAACCTGGCTAGTGTTTAGGGATGAATACTGTTTTGACTGTCTTGCAAAATTCCATAAATCCACCATGTAGTGTAAACATTGTGGTTCATTGGTTCTCTCCATTCCCCACAGCAGATGGGTAGAATATAAAAGACTCACTCTATTCACAGTTTTGTGGAGCTTGTCTCTAAAAACAAACTTTCAACTCCTGGATAGACAAAACTTGTAGGAACAGATGTCTTTTAACTGCTTCTTCTGGTTTTGCAGCTACTGTGCCATTATACAGACTGCTTTACCCAGCTTGCTGGAGAAAATGCACTGGAACCCATTATATGAGCAATTCTGACAGCTTCCTAAAACTGCAGCTCCTTTTTATTAATCTTAGTTCCCCTAGCAACTGCTAAAAATGTGACAAGTGGTAGTGCTCTTGCTGTCAATCAAATCTTATTTAAAATTAGACAAGAAAGATAATATATGGCAAGGACCTTTTATTGGTCCAAAAGTGACAGATTAAAGAGGGGATTTAACAGGTCTCTTTCATCTCTAATCTCTGTGATTCTGTGAAAAAGTAATTTCTGTGAAATCTGATACCATTTTATTGCATCCTGGTTTTGGACATAAAATTATGTCTATTATGTGGCTCTGAAACTGGCTCTCCAAGAGTTAACTGTAGCTGGTAAACTCAATTAGGGCATCTGACTGCAACTGTAAAATGGGCCAGGCCTAGTCAATGATGAGTCCTAGGTGGGGGAGGAGTTAGATGGTTAATATAAGGCAGGAAGCTCAGAAGAGAAGAGGGTTGCAACCTTTTTTGAATATTATAATAAATTATGTCCCAGAACAAATAAGTGCTTGGGTATGTGTCACTCTGTTCACAGATGACTGTGCTCTGTGGGCTAGGAATAGGATTACAGAAGTGTCAGGAAAGAGAATTAACAAGGCATTATGAGAGACCTTGGACTAGGGAAATGCATGAGGTTTCAAGTTCTCCATTGCTACAACCAAAGGACTGATCTTTACAAAAGGGAAAGTTACAAAGGAATACAAACAGTACTTGTACAGAGAACAAACAGATGTAGTGCAAAGATTCAAATTCTTAGTCGTAATATTCTATAGTTATGTCTAGACTACGGGGTTTTTTCGAATAAAGTGGCCTTTTTTTCGAAAAAACTTTACTTGCATCTAGACTACCATGTTCTTTTGAAATTAAATCGAAAGAATGCGGCAATTTTTTGGAGGCCGTTAAACCTCATTTTACGAGGAAGAATGCCTTTTTTTTTAAAGAGCTCTTTCAAAAAAAGGCATTCTTGAATGCAAACAGGGCTTTTTTAAAAGAGAGCATCCAGATTGCCTGGGAGCTCTCTTTTGAAAAAGCGGATAGCTTTTTTGAAAAAAGTGGTTGCTGTTTAGACGATCTCTTTCAAAAGAAGTTTTTTCAAAAGATTATTTCTAAAAAGCTTCTTTCGAAAGAAGCTTGTAGTCTACACATACCCAAGATGAGTACCTTTTACATTGGAAAGATCATATAAGCTATGCTAAAGAAAAATATACAGGAAAGCTCAATCTTCCTGAAAGTCTTGCTGGGACTAATGGAGTCACACAGTAGATAAGAAAACACTGCTGATTGTATCTAGAATCTTAACTAGATGAGGAATAGACTATAGCTGCTAAGTTTTTGGGTCAGCAACAAAAAGAAAACTTAAAAAAATTAGATTTAATATAAACCACTGCAATACGAATTGGGTACAATGGATTTATTTACCATACATATCTGAGTACTACAGATAACTTCTAGTGACATATCAGTTATACTATGAATAAAACTACTGGACCTAATGTTGTGGGCTAAAGTTAGTGGGACCATAATGATGAAAGTACCATGTAAACATATGAGGACTGTTGGGAAATATAGGGGAGCTATAACACACACAGTTAGAACTCCCTGTGAAGTTCCAATTAACAGGTGGAGGCAGGAGCTGAAAGACAAGTGAAAGCTAAATGAAGCCAAAACTTTCAGTCAAGGAAAATTAGTTAAGGATGGAAAGTTACATGACCACATGTGGATTTAGATTTATTTTATAAACTTTAGGGTAAAAAAAGAGATGATGGATATTAGAAATGAAATGTACCAGTATATAAAAGAAAAGGTGAAGTTAGTTTTGTCAAATATATACAGATGGGTCCAAAGAAATAGAAATAGGAAGAGTGGGGCTGGCATATTGTATAACAAAAATGCGAATTAGCACATCTAAAAGAATATCTGATTATATGCCTTTCATGACAGCTGCACTTGTGGTAATAGTGCTAGCATTAAATTGGATATGGGATGTATGCCTAGCAGCAGCAGTCATTTTTTCTGATTCAATCTCAGGCCTTATGGCAATAAAAAGGGATGTCCTGGTATGCAGAAATCATATAATCAATGAAATTATATTTCTAATAACAGAGTTAATACAGGTTTGGATTCATGTAGCACTATCTGGGATCCCAGCACATACTGGGTCAACAGGAAACAAAATAACAGGCAAAGCATCTGTAAGAAATGGAAAGGTTGACATGGAAATATCATTGAGTAAACAGGAATTCACAAACCCATTCCAGAAAATTTTAAAGGTGAAATGGCAAAAAACCCCAAAACCCCTGGATTTGTGAAAAAAGGAAGATGTTTTAATTGTGCCCTAGAGATGAGGATTATAACATACTTCAGGCCCTAGATAGGACTAATGAAGTCCTTCATCTAGAATAGTAACTGGCCATTGTGACTTAAACAAAAATATTTTTGAATAAATAGACACAAAGATGATCTATGCACACTCAGCAAAGAAACAATGGATCACCTTTTATAAGCATGCAAGAGTTTTGAGAACAAAAGGGAAAAAGCTTTTTGAGAAATTCAAACGTCTTAATGTAACAAAAAATTATATTGTGTTATTTAGTCAAAACATTAGAGAAATGGAGCATTATTAAAAAGTGGGTTACATTACTTGAAAGACACAGGGCAGAGTGAGAGGATATAAATTGCTAAGTACTGAAGAATTATTGTTGGTGGCAGCTGTAGACTACTGAGACAAGCAGGGGCAGATGACCGTTTTGCGGGGCCCCGGGCAGCATAATTCCGCGGGGCCCCCCCTTTGCCACGGCGCATGCGCAGTGACACCATGCGCATGCACGGTGACGCCACGGCGCATGCGCAGGGCTTTTTGAAACGCGGGGCCCGGGGTGGCCGCCCCGCTCGCCCTGCCCTATATCCGCCCCGGGGACAAGTCTGCTTCATCATAAAAGGTAGAAAAAGAAAAGAAAGAAGGGACTAGAGGGAGAGTGGGAAAGAACTTCTTATCCCTGTGTGGGCAACAGAAAAACCTGCAGGGTGAGGGAAGGACATCAGGGATAGAGAGGAAAGAGGAAGAGGAAATCCAGGGAAAGAATTGGCCTTGTGATCTTCCTTCAGTACAGAACTCTGGCTAGTTTCCAGGAGAGATAAGAAAACGCCACTGTGGTGGAAAAACCTCCAGTGTTAAGCCTGCCTGCAAGAGCAGCATTTGGGTCTCCAGGAGATCCTCAACTGAGGGAACCCTTAAGAGGGATGAAAGTTCAAGCCTGTGGAGGGCAGAAGTTCTTTAACTACATATTTTTAGTTGAGATTTGTTGAGGACTTCTGGAGGGACCCTGCAATGCCTCTATATTGCAAGTGCTTGGCTAAAGGACTAAGGCACAAGAAGACACAGACCACTCTAGAGCTGGAGAAGCTGTTGGCAGAGGGGTGCTAGATGAGGAGAGCCTGCTATGCCAGGTCAAGCCACCAGAGGGTCACTCTAGCAGTGAGTCAACTCTTCAAGACTGGTCAACATGGATGTGAACTCTACTAAGGCATAGCACTTTAACATTAATGACTCTGAGTGGTCCCTGACATCATGTCTGTTAATCAGCAAACTTAGTTTGCTTCAGAAACAGCAGGGCCATCCTTAGATTGCCAGCTCAATCCTTGAGGGGGCCATTTAGGAATCTGGGGCAAATCTGC